TCGAAATATGTCATTCGATGACATGATTATTTTCTAATGCTTATGGTCTGAGTGGTCGAGGCGTTTCGGAAAAATTCGTCTTTTCACGCGACTGGCGACTTAAAAATTTGCTCTGGAGGAGCAGCAAGAAATTAGCGACAAGCCAGCGACAACCCAGCGACAAGCCAGCGACAAGCGTTGAAAGCGGTATTCGCCGTGACTATACGCTATAAGAACAAACCCATGTCTAGAAGAAGTTTTAGTAGAAGTTTACATAGCGAATTAGCTATGTTACTAGACGCGGCTTCTAGCGAATAAAAGTCACCCCGTGTAAATCACACTTTACTAAAAAAGTAATAAATAACGAGTACCACGTAACTTTTTCAATAATGAATGACTTTTTTAATCCGTTACAAGTAACGATTGATTTTTCTCTAATGCCATTTTTCTAACTCTAAATATCATTACCGTTATAAAAAATTCACAATGTCATTATCAAATCATTATTATAACAAGATAACAACGTAACGTTACTAACGCGTTACTGCCAACCCTGCAAATAATTAATAGTACATAAGCTAGCAAATAAGAGACTTATATGTACGTATATAAAAGTCGTAGACGGTTGCAGTGTCTCAAATCATAAGAAATTGACTAATTCCAGTCAAGTATTCTCCTTATATTTGATTGTATTTGGTCAATTTCCTACGATTTACGACTTCATGATCATCTACAATTTCTATGTAAACGAACTTGAAGTCTATTCGAAAGATAGATTAGATTCTATATAGTTTGCTTCTGTTACTAATAATTGGTTGGAGTGTGTATAGCAGACTAGCAGCAATCACAACAAACAAAATTTATTGTCACATATTTACTGATCACTTATTAAATTCATCTTAAAAACATCATCATCTTAAAAAGTGATTACTATGAACTATTAAAAACTGAAAGAATTAAACAGATTTCTACATAACATAGAACGTATGATATATCAAAGCCATAATGTATATGTTGCAGTAATGAACATTCATTCATATTCTATTTTACAACGCACTTTAATGTCTAGTTCTTCAATATTTTTTCCCAATTAGAATTTACTAATATGATAGGCGGAACAGAGCTCCTCTCTTCTAGCAACCCTCTTTCCTGTTTGTGTCCACACTGCGTATTGCAATGGGGGAGTTTCATTACATAATCCCCCATTAGGAGGATTAGGGCTTTCTAAAAACTCTCGGGACTGAAAGGGGGAAGGCCTTCGCCCTTCTTCGATTACATTGACATAGGTATATGATTCTATCATTCTCGTAAGATATACACTGAAAAAAAGATAATTAAATATTTATTTGTAAAAGTATATTTATTTTTAAATAAACATTTATTGAAATAAATATTTATTTAAATACGACACAAAATAAAATTTTATTTTTAACAAATAAGCCAACTAATTTTTTTGTAATTAATGAAATATATTTCACAGAAACGTATATTTCATCATCATACTCAAATTTTTTCATAACTAATAAATATCGAAAAAAACGTAACATTTGTTTTGCTTAATACTTGTCATTTTTTTATTGTACATTACGTTTACATAATACTCTTAATCGAATTTAATAATATCCATAATTATAAAATCAATCACAGCTATTCCTTTGAAGAATGGAATGACTGTAATTGGCCAGTTTCATAACTGGATGTTTTTAAATTTGATTAGATAATAATTCTATTTTAATTTCACGTGGTTTCCCTCTTTACAAACATACCGATCGATTTGGCTCTTGACAGCATCTCTAACAGATGGCCCGCAATCTCAAAAATATATAACATTTCAAAAGACGAATTTTTTATCTCTTTACAATTAGTTTTTAATTCTTCATTTTTTTTTCATTTGACAATTGTATCTACAGACAAAAATTTAGGGTGTCCATGGATTCATCTCTATCATCAGTAATTGCGGATTTAGTATTAAGACTTGAAGAGGAAAGCATTGAATACCTAGTTTTCCATATATCCTTTTATGTTCGTTATGTAGTCAATATTGCAATGGGAACTTCATTTGAAAAAACTTTAGAGATATTACAGATTTTCAATTCGTTTCATCCTCGATTACAATTTACGATCGAAATTAGTGAGGATAGATTAAATTACTTAGATATTACTATTATCAAAAATAACAACGCTCTTGAATATGATTAATAGCATAAGCCTACATTCTCCGGTAGGTGAATTTCTTTCTCAGCATCTTGTCTTACAAAAGAGAGATACGATCATAGGAATGGTTGATAGAGCCTTTTTATTATCTCAACCAAAGTATCACAAAAAGAACTTGATTTTTGTCGTCGAGACACTTTTAAATAATGACTATCCGATTGATTTCATCTTTAAACATAATTAATGAGCGCCTAAAATCGTTATTGCGTAACGAAACTTTAAAACAAAACATTATGAATAAAACTCCCACGGAAGATATTGTTAAAAAGTGATGGTTTACGAGAACTGTTGTTTCGGAGAACTCAGATAAATTTAAGGACATTATTAAAGACTTTGATGTTGACCTTGCATTTTTCAGCCTAAATAAGCTCAATGTTTTTATCAAAACACACAAAGATTCTTTGTTTAATAAGGTAAAAAAGAATGTATAAGATATATTGCAAGGAGATTGCGTGTCTCCTATGTCGGATAGATAGGAAGAAAAATGAGAATCTCAGAACACCGTAATGACATCCGAGAAATACTAGTAATCATTCTGTTATCACCGAACACAGATTGGATCTTAATTATGATTTCGATTGGTAAGGCACGGAAATTATTGATCAGGAACGGTTTTTGTATAAACGACGTATCTCGGCTACGTATCTCGGATACGTAAATGCTACATATTCAGTTGCAAAAAAATAGTCTAAACTTGCAATTTGATACTGAGTTTTTATGCATCACGATCCATACATCTCGATCCTCAATTTACATTAATTTGAACTATGCGCCTGTTTTTAATCATTTTTAAGTAATATTTTGACATATGTTGGTAATACCACTCATTTATTTATCAATTTGTACACCGTGTATTATTTTTTACTCACTCGATTGTTAACCATTGTAATAATCAGAACGTTTGTCGCGAATTTGTTACGCACACTATGGACAATCTGCAGATCTTTCGATTTTAATTATTTTTTCATGGCTATAGGGGTGAATGCCTTAATTTTTTCTTTAAAAAATTGTGGTAACGATTTTGATATATGTGTAGATTTTCATCTGTTATTCATTGCCACTGCACTTGCCAACCTCTGTCAATAGAATAAGGAGATTGAGTCGTCACTCTTCTGTCTCGCCATGAAGAATTGAGAGAATTATAATAAATGTTTAAACATACTGATGATAGCTCGAAGACAAGCCGAAACGTCTATGCGTAATTAATTATATTCTTTTGAATTAGCAATAAACGATTTTTATTCTCGCACTAAGTATAGTTCACCGCGAATAAACTCTCATTAACTTTTCTTTGTTTTTACATTTAACATTCTCGAGAGTTGTTACTTGTTTTATTTTTATTATATTACATGGCACCCTTAATTAAGGGTACCGTGTAAACGTAATAATTATAGATAATGAAATATCCGACGCGAGACATGGCTGGCATGTTTCAGAATCAACGAACACAATGGATTTTTCATTTTATCTCTAATGTGAGATAAAAACGTGAAGGGAGCATACGTATTAGAAGGGGAACGGAAAATTCAATCCCTCTTTCGTATTATTCGATAAAGTCCTTTGTTGGCATATGGTATGTATGCTTGGTTTATCTATATCTATGACACATGTATTTGCTCGCTTCACAAAATTTGAAGGGCTTCATCCCTTTTTAGGTAGTGAAGCTCCCCGTAGAAGGGACGAGATCGACGGGACACAACATACAGCTGTTTCTACGTACACACTTTCCATGTAAAACGAAGTTCCATCTTTATAACTTTTTACGTAATGATTTTATTTTTCAACAAATAAATTTACATTTTCTATAATATTATAAGTAATAAACAAAAAAGAAGTTAATTTTTACTATTTGTCTATGTAATTATATTTTTTATGAATAACTTTTTAATAAACACCGAGCGGCGGCTAGAACCTTTTGATTACTTAGGGATATATTCTTAATGTTAATTGATATACATATATATTAATTAACATAATGAATCGAAAAGAAAAGGAAGAAAACAAATAAATTCTTTTACATTTTCCGATAAAGTCAATTATTTTTTCTATGTGTTTTGTATTTTATTCAATATTCAGTAGTCTCTCAAAAAAAAATGATATGTACGGAATACCAGTAATGTCACATAATGCTTATTTTTTTTTTACATATTTTATAAGTCTAATGCTTTAAAAATTCGCCAATAAAGTTTTAAATGTACATTCGAATAGCACGCACGTACGCCCGTTTATTTATTTACTTTGTTTTGACAAATAATCATTTATTATTGTATCATATACTCTCTAAATCTGAATCAGTGGATAATCACTGATATCAGTGCCACTGGTAATTAGTGAATTAAATATGAGATAAAAATTAGCTAATCCAGCTAATTTTTATTATATGATCTAATAATCTTGTTTTAGTGCTTAAATTCAATGAATACGATATTGAAAGATTGAAATTAACGTGCAAATGTCAGTATTTTAGTTATATAATATTTAAACATTCTTCCTTTTTTTAGCTGAACTTCACTGATTATTAGTACGAAGTATGCCACTGAGTATATATATATATATATATATATATATATATATATAATTGTAACTATCCACTGATTCAGATTTAGAGAGTAAGTTTATAGATTCATAAGACAGTTTAATTGGTAATAAACTACCTTTTTTATCGTTTAGTTACCTTTTTAAAATATGTTACAATCGTTTTTAATTACAGTTACGACAGATCTCGAAGGTAGAACATAACTTTTAAAAGAAAACATATTTTAAATTATTAGGTGAAATTATTAGATGAACAGTAAAAAAAATCGTACCTTTTTCAATCCTCTTAGGCGTCTTTTTCTTCTTCTTCTTCTTTTTACAACGACGACACGTGTCCAGCTCCAGAGCACCAGAACTTCTTCTTCCTCTATTTCTTTTTTACACTTTTAAAAATTTTTTTTTAAAGAAATAATAATCCATTTTTCACAATAAAAAATGTGAGTAATAATTTAGATGCTAGAAACTTTAGCAGCAGAATCAATATTTTCATCCTTGTCGAAATATCTGCTCAACGTCTTAGAGCATATATTTCGATAGAAATTAAAAATTTCGATCGGTTTATTTTTTTATGCGTTATGCAAGATTCTACGCATTTAGACGCAACAGTTCCCGCACTTAGAGTCCGAAATGTATTCTATACAGTTACGAGTTTGTTGGACGATGTGTAGACTCGACGCGACAACGGAGCACTAATCGAACCAATCGGACGCAACCGCGAGCGAAGAGTGCTCCGCATTATACAAATACGTAATGCAAGATTTCGCTCTCCCGCCCTTAAAATTGTATAGCTAGAATTCGGAACACTGCGTGTTAGATACGTTTTTATTAGACTGGCTGGGGATCGTAGTCATGACAACGAGAGTGCCAATCGGACGTCAGTTACGAGAGAAGGGGAACTTTGGGACGTGCATGCGCGTCCCCCACCCTCAACTGAGAACTGTTCGTTCAATCCAGGTCAGCTCAGTCGCTCCGGTGCTCCCGTCGCGTTTGGTTATCGTTACTTTGGTGTACGCCATATTAAATAGAAGAAAAATAAGTTCTGGCGCTCTGGGATTGGACATGTGTCGTCGTCGTGAAAAGAAGAAGAAGAAGAAAAAGACGCCCAGAAGAAGACAGGATTGAAAAAGGTATGATTTTTTTTTACTGTTTCATAATAATATTTTATAGTTTGTGAAAGGATCTTTTTTTCTAATTTTGATGATTATTACGGGATTCGGATAATAAAATAGTTACACTGTGACCAATGTCAATAATCGACTCAATTTTATCTCGAATCAAAGTCTTTATTCCGAGTGCGTTAGATTATACAACTTAATATGACGAGAACCAGCGGAGAAGCCTCGTTCGTTTTGTCGATGCTTATTTGACCTCATACCCGGAGAAAAACAATAGAAAACGGTTTGTTTTTTTCGGCTGTTCTAGAAGGTTTCGAATTATTAATTTTAAATATACATAATTCAGTAATTTAATTTTCTTCGTGAGATGCAACGGTTGCTGCCTTTTTTTCTCTGACTCGAACAGCTAAGCAAATCTTCGGTATTTGCATGTATTCTCTCGCTATTCCGAGAACGCGATATTCTTCGGATGACAATTATATTTTTCCGCTGAAGTAATGGTGATATAATCGCTACAATAACTCCTCTGCCAATGCTGTGCCAACAATACGATAAATATACCTTTAGTAACGATAGAAAAAAATTTATGAATACCCTCGAAATGAACCACACACGGAAAACGTAGAAATAAATTTTGATTATGTGTGCGCCAAGTGACTTTCTCTAATGTCGAATATGAATATATAAAATAAAATAAAAAAAAATACATATAATAAAATCTCGCGCGTATCTCACAAAATAAAATTAAATAAATACACAGTCTCGCGAGAAAAAAAACGAATATACAAGAAAAAGATTCTTCTTT